AAAGGAAATGCACCTCCTCCTGCCTTATTGCCACCACTGACAGTTTTGACACCTGGAATACTCGGTAAACTTGTTCCCATAAAATTTTTACTCGTCTGTCCCCCCCTTCCCTTTATATAAAAGAACTATACACACACACTGCAAATCCCTAGGTACCTTCCTCTCTTTCATACATTTACTGAACAAAAGTACCAACCACAACAAAACTATATCCTCACCTGCTTTTAATAAATGTTATTATCCCATCAGTTCCAGCTCCTTTGCCCCTTTACCTTCTACGTAATGCCTCATGCACCTTCCCCACACTAACATCTGTTTCATCTGCACTCCTAAAAGATGTTATGCCTCCCTGGCCAATGCATGAAATTACTGCCTTCTCCTTTTCATCAACATTAAAGTTCCTCAAAATATTCGCACCAACTTCCCAATACCCCCAACTCCCCATCTACTAACTTCTCTCTTGCAGATGAATGGTTCAGAGAACAGACACATTGATAAATTACACATGTGCAACTCTTGGGTATCTTTATTGAGGAAACGTTTCGCCACACAGTGGCTTCATCAGTCCATACATAGGAGAAACTTGAAGAACAGGAGGAGAATGAGGTAATCAAGGTTGAGGGACTGACTACCTCATTCTCCTCCTGTTCTTCAAGTTTCTCCTATGTATGGACTGATGAAGCCACTGTGTGGCAAAATGTTTCCTCAATAAAGATACCCAAGAGTTGCAGTCTAATTTATCAACTTCTCTTTTGTTTTTAACTGTCAGATCCATTTGTTTCCTAGGCTTTTTTAACCTATTTATGTCTCCCATTTTTTTTTCTTGGCAAAATTTGTTGACAGCACCTCACCCACTCTATTACATTTGCTCTCCCTCGCCACTCTTTTACTTTCCATATACTCCACCCTTCTTACATCACTTCTGCTTTATAAAAAAACTCTCACCAGCAACCTTTTTCTCTCTCATCACATCCTTTACCTCATCATTTCACCAATCATTCTTATTTCCTCCCATACCCACCAACTTCTGCCCCCACATTCTAAGAACTATCCCACCCCTCTTCAACCCCTGCACTACCTATAATCTCATTACCGTACCTTTCACCAAATAGTTGCTTATATCTTATCCCAACTTCCTCCCTTAGTTTATGAACTTTCATCTCTTACTTGCTGTTGCCATTTTTCTTCTTGCCAGTCTACCTCTTACTCTAACTTTAGCTACAACTAAATAACGATCTGATATATCTGTTGCCCCTCTATAAACATGCACATCCTGAAGTCTACCAATCAACTTTTTATCCACCAATACATAATTTAACAACATACTTTTATTACATGCTATATTATATCCTGTATACTTATTTTAACTATTTTTCTTAAAATATATATTACTTATTACCAAACCTCTTTCTATACATAGTTCAATTGAAGGCACCCCATTTTCATATACTCCTGGCACCCCAAACTTGCCTACTACTCCCTCCTCAACAGCTTTAGTACTCACTTCAGCATTTAGGTCACCCACCACAAGTACTCTCTCACTTGGTTCAAACCTCCCCAAGCACTCGCTCAACTCTTCCAAAATCTCTCTCTCTCTTCTCCAGGTGCATAAACACTAACTATAACCCACTTTTCATAACCAGGCCTTATTTTACTCCACACAATCCTTGAATTTATACATTTATATTCCCTCTTTTCCTGCCATAACTGATCCTTCAAGATTATTGTTACTTCTTGCTTAGCTCTACTAGAAACCCCTGCCCTAACCCCATTTATTTCTCCTACCCCCTTCATCTTTGTCTGACATAGCCAGAGCATCCAGCTTCATTCATAACATCTAGAATCATCTCTTTCTTATCATCTGCACTTCATTCATGCACATTCAAACATCCCAACTTAAAGGTTTTATTTTTAATAAACTATACAGGAGAAAAGGGGTTACTAGCCCATTCCTCCCGGCATTTTAGTTGACTTTTACAACACGCATGGCTTATGGAGGAAAGATTCTTATTCTACTTCCCCATGGATATGAAAGGAAAATAATAAGAATAAGAACCATTAAGAAAAAAATAAAAGACTCAGATGAGTGTGTATACATATACTGTACATATATGTACATGCATGTATAGTGTGACCTGTATGTAAATAAAAGTAGCAAGATATACCTGTTATCTTGTGTGTTTATGAGACAGAAAAAAGACACCAGCAATTCTACCATCATGTAAAACAATTACGGGTTTCTGTTTTACACTCATTTGGCAGGACTGTAGTACCTCCCTGGGTGATTGCTGTCTACCAACCTACATACATGCAAACCCCAAAAATAAAAAAAATTGTTTATAACAGTAGTAGGCACATGAGCAAGCACTGTTTATAGGAAAATGTTTTGGTCAAGGTCCCAGAACCAAAATATTGTCTAATACCTGATGTTCAAGTGTTTGCTCGTATCTTCTTTAACCCTTAAACGGTCCAAACAGATCGACGTTCAAATCCGTAGTGCTCCAAAAGTAGACCTACATTTTTTTTACATATTTTCAAAAATAACAAAAAAACAAATGTAGATATAAGTTTTTTTACACATTTTTAAATGTAAAACAAGAAAGAAGATCTACATTTTTTTACATACTTTCAAATGTTGAAAAAACGTATATACGTATACGTTTGGACCATTTAACCCTTTGACTGTCGCAGCCGTATATATACGTCTTACGAGGTACCGTGTTTGACGTATATATACTCATAAATTCTAGCGGCTTCAAATCAAGCAGGAGAAAGCTGGTAGGCCCACATGTGAGAGAATGGGTCTGTGTGGTCAGTGTGCACCATACAAAAAAAATCCTGGAGCACACAGTGCATAATGAGAAAAAAAAATATGACCTTTTTTTTTTTTTATTTAATTAAAATGCTGATTTTGATTGATTTTACTATAAAAAGAACCTAGAAATGGAGCTCAAAGTAGGGGAAATGTTTGATTTTTGCCCATGTTCAAAAGAAAAACAAATGATGCCATTGTCCAATAAATGTCCAACTAGCCATTCTAATATGCAGTCATGAATGGGTTGATGTTATTTATACAATTATTACAGTATTGCAGTAGTCTGCATAATAGTAAGTCTTCAATTTTTTGTTTGAATAAAAATTCAAAATAGAAAGCAAGAGTAATATCAGAGGGGCCTGGAGACATGACTGATGAGCAAAGAAAATGTTATTTTAGAGCCAGGAATGTCTGCATTGTTCATTCTGGACCTTATTTTGAAATTGTCATATTTTTTAGTTTTTGTGAAACTGGCCAAATTGCAAATTTCTGACCACATTATTAGGTAGTTGAAATCGGTAAATGGTTAGTTTCTTGTACTCAATCGATAGAAAAAATGGAGTTCTAAAGAAATAGCTATGAGTTTGGGTGACTGTAACAATGGAATTAGCCGAAAATAGGGCTCAAAGTGGGCGAAATCGCCGATTTGTAAACAGCGCCGAGGTCACTAACTTCGCGAGAGCATAACTCCGTCAGTTTTCCATCAAATTTCGTTTTTTTGGTGTCATTACAATCGGGAAAAGATTCTCTATCATTTCATAAGAAAAAATAATTTTATTTTTTTGAATTTTGCGACACCAGGAGACACCTCAGGATTGGGGGTTGCGATAGTCAAAGGGTTAAGGGTTAACCAGTGTCCAAGAATTTTCAAAAAATAATTTTGTTATTTTTTCTTATGAAATGGTAGAGAATCTTTTTCTGAAGGTAATAAAACAAAAAATACGAAATTTGATGGAAAATTGATGAAATTATGCTCTTGCGAATTTTGATGTGCCAGCGATATTTATTCATCGGTGATTTTGCCGACTTTGACTCGCATTTTATGCCAATTACCTTATTCCAGTAGGCCAAATTCTTAGCTATTTCACAAGTATTACTTCTATTCTATCGATTGAGCACAAGAAATTACCAACTCGACTGTTTTGACTACAAAATAGTGACTGGAAATTGGTAATTTAGCCAATTTAGTGCAAAGTTCAAAATATTCCAATTTCAAAATAGGGTCAAGAATAAACAATGCAGGTATTCCTGGCACTAAACTAACATTTCCTCTGTCCATTAGTTACATTTTCAGGCTTTACAAATGAATTCTATTTTGATTTTTAATTCACATAATGAATTTTTATTCAAACCAAAAAATAGAACATTTACTGTCATGAAATATTGTAATAATTGTATAAATAATATCAGCCCACCAGCTGCCGTGTATTAGACGTGTGTGGTCATTTGTTTACTCTTGAACATCGGCAAAAATTTAACATTTCTGCTACTTTGAGCTCAGTTTCAAGCTGTTTTCACTACTAAAACCAATCAAAATCATCACTATTTCTGTATATTATCTTCCATTCTATCAAATGTGACCAAGAAATCGCAAATGCAACTATAAAAAACATACAAAAAACACTGCAAAGTTGCTGTTTTAATTGAAAATTAAGGTCTCTGCTTTTTTCTCTCATTATGCACTTTGTGCTGCAGGATTTGTTTTATGCACACATACCACATACATGTATTCTCTCATATCTAGGCCCAAATTTACCGCTCACAGCTTATCAGAGTGAGCTGAGCTTATGGCGTAGATCTACGGTTTGGACTCTCAACGTTAAGCCGTAGATCTACGGCACGGACCCTGAAAGGGTTAACCCAAATATTCTGTATTAATTACCAAGGTCCAGTTAGCCAGGCTTGAGTTCTGGAGGTGGGAAGTACAATGTCTATACTTTAAAGTAGGGATTTGGGGTATTTGCTGAACTGTCTTATCTGCATGCCTCTGCAAAGACTGATTGAGTGTGAATGATGGTGAAAGTGTTTCTTTTTTGGGCCACCCTGCCTAAGTGTGAGATGGCCAGTGTTAAAAAAAAAAAAATGTACTAATGAGGCTTTTTATTGCCTCATTACAACCTTTTTATTGCATCATTACAACATACTACTTTGATAACAGCACTACATTAAAGGCAGTTCAAAATACTTTTGTTTAACTATGAGTTTAATTAATTTAACACCATGACACTTAAACATTAAATTTGAATTCCAGCAATTTTTGCTTCAGAAAGTTAACTAATAATGTTTGTGAGAGCATCTGTGAATCCCCATTTTCAGTATCAATAAGTTCGAACAAAGGTATGCTGGCACAAGCCCCCTTGCCTACAACTATGACTAGAGGGTATCCTGTCTTCTTAGCTTCCATTACACGCTGTCCAATAGTGAAACTGTCTCGGTCATCTATTATAACATCATTTTGAAAGCCAGGTATGGAGTTAACGACATGTGCCAGATGATCCACCCAAGACAATGCACCTGCTTCCTTGCTGCCTTTCTGTTAATAGAAAAACAGATAAAAAATATTAATTTTTGTGCATCTTTAAGCCATAATATTAAAATTTATAAAGTAGTTTCTGCAAATGAAATAATACCACTTGAATATTTTATTATGAAGTAAATGCAATCCTTAAAACCAGGAAACAAAAAGATATGCATCTAATGATATTTATACCTAATTCTATATAAATTTTCATTCTTTCAGGACTAAGGCTATGAGTAGAATATAAGACAGCATTAAAATGAAAAACAAAAAAATAAATGAAAATATTTGTGTGTATATGGAACACTGTATTGCCAGTTAATAAATTTAATACTGGAAGCAAAGGGAATATAGCAGAGTATAATGATACCAACACTGTTGTATGGGTGTGAGGCATGGTTTCCAATGCTGCAACAAGGAGAATGGAGGGTGTGGAGATGATGTGTTTGAAGATAATGTATGGTGTGAATGTTATGGAGATTATTCAGAATTTGAAGATTAAAATTATCAAAAATATTATTCAGAGGGCTGAGGAAGGGATGTTTAGGTGATTTGAGCACCTAGAGAGAATGACACAAAATAGGATGACTAAGAGGTATGTAAATCTGAGGTGATGGGAAGGAGAGGTAGTGGTCATCCCAGGAAAGGTTGAAGGGAAAGGGTAAAGGAGGTTTCGAGTGCTAAAGACTTCGACATCCCAGAGGCTTGTACGAGTACACATAATAGGTGTGAATGGAGGAGAGCATTTTTTTATGACTCGACATGGAGGGTAACATTTATGAAGGGATTCAGGCAAAAAAGTTAGCTGAACTAGAGTCCTAGAGTTGGAAAGTACATTGTTGCACTCTGGAGAAGTGCAGTATGGAAGACCATCTGAACTGTGATGTTAGCATGCTTCTGGCAAGACAGTGATTGAATGTTTCTTTTTTCTGGTCACTCTACCTATGGTGGGAGATGGCAGGCCTGTTAAAAAATCTGTCATTTATTACTCGAGAAATTGTAATGACATGATTGCAAACAAAGCATACCAAAGGCTAATGCATCAGCCTGAAGTTTTATGACTGATCGTGGGTTCTATCCCCACACGTAGTATGGTTTGGGTTTTTCTGTCATTTATTGCCATTGTGGTGTGTTATAAGTAGTTATTTTTAATTGATAGAGGACAATCTAACCTTGCATAAATAACATAAATCAAGAAATTTGTTGAAAAATATGTGAGAAATCCACATAGAATGTGTGTGTATGGATTGGTCTGTCAGTTATTGGCTACTTTCAGCAGGATGGTGAAATCTGCATGCTTGTAACTGGTTGCTCTCAGCACCCAGTCACCAAGATAGCATCAGAACTTGTGCCTTAGTTAAGGCCAAGGAAGGCAGTCACAGGTCAGTTAGTCATCAGACACTGCATGATTAACAACCAGCAGCAGACTACATGTCTTCGCTAGAAAACAGGTGCCTAGGATATTACAATAGTGCAGCTCATTACTGTGAGACTGACAGTGCAACCTTAATACTGCAGAAGTAAAAGCACAGTTCAGTACAGTGATGCTGACTCTGCAGAACAATTTCAAGATGCTGACTGGAGGGAGGGTGTGTGTGCATGCATGTGTTTGCATGTAGAAAGTGTTATTGAAATAGTAATTTTAATGGTAAGCTACCAGTAAATGTGTAGTCTTATAGTGATTTGCAACATGTCAAGTATTTTCCTGTTCACCCATTATTAAGGTTCTCACCAGGTCTTTAACACTTTCGCTTACTGTGCTGTAGTACTACGCCTTTGGTTTCACTGGCCGTGCCGTAGTACAACGTGATGAGCTCAGCTCGATCAGATAAACTGTGAGCAGTAAATATGGGCCTACATGCAAGAGAACGAGCCAATGTGGTAAGTGTACGCCACGCAGTGCATAATGAGGAAAATGAGTGTTTTTGGTTTACAATAGCAACTTTGCAGTGTATTTTCCTATGGTTTTTATGGTTAAATTATCAGTTTCTTGGTCTCGTTTGATAGAATGAAAGATACATTACAGAAACAGAGATGATTTTGATTAGTTTTAGGACTGAAAATAGCTTGAAATTGAGCTCAAAGTAGCGGAATGTTCGATTTTTGCCGATGTTAGAGTAAACAAATCATCATATGTCCCAAACATGTCAACTGGTAAGTTAAATATTGTTATATCTTGGAAATTGGTCATCCTGTGTTATTTAACTATTGTAAGAGAATATGATCATCACTTAATATTATAGCGCGAAAGTCCCCGTTTATAGCTAAAATAGAGACTTTCGACATTATATTATTATCTGTTTAATATATAAAAAATACCATGGTATTATCCTTATTTTATTATTATTATTATTATTGTTAGGTAGGATTATTATGTATATAGAGCATAAATCTCGGAACCATCCGGTGAATTGTTCAATTGTTTATGTCCAGTTGACTAACGTTTGGGTCAGGTGATCCAACCTGACGACGGGTCAACAGACTGGCAGGTAGTCAGTCCGCTCCCTGCTCTAGCCTTGACAACTGATCGTATATTGGTTCTCTCTTAGGGTGTACAGTTTGAATGGGTTTGAGAATTAGTCTCTAGAGCTGACTCAGTTTGTTCCTCATTGCTCTGAAAGATTGTTTTGATATTTATATTCTTGGTCAGTTCAGTAATCCATAGAGATACGTCTTCTCAGACAAACTCTTGCCTCCTACTTCCTTTACAGCCGGATTCAAAGGTCTTGTTGAATCTTGTACATTTTGTAGTTTGAGTTTACACAGTCTTGTTAAGACAAAGACGCAAATGTTAGTGAAGACTTAATTACAGGAAGAAAAATTAATCTTCCTTATTAATGTGATACTTCCATGATTTTGAACTAAATATGTATATTGTAAATTTATTGTACAAAGTGTATTAAGATATAATATTAGGTACAGAGAAAAGATAAAGTATTGTATTTAAATACTTTAATAAATTTGAATATTATTCTATGGAGTTTCCCAGTTGAAAATATTTCCCCTAGACTCTAAAATACCTTTAACTAACTCTGATCCAAAATCTTGTTGCCTATGAAGAAAATAGTAACAGACCACATTCTGAAGTTCTTTATAAAATTTCTTATTCGCAACAAATGTGTGTTCACAAATGTGCTGATATTATTTATACAATTAAAGGAGGGGTTCGGGATATTAGCAGTTTGGAGGGATATGTCGTGTATATACGTATATGCTTCTAAACTGTTGTGTTCTGAGCACCTCTGCAAAAACAGTGATTGTGTGAGTGAGGTGAAAGTGTTGAATGATGATGAAAGTATTTTCTTTTTGGGGATTTTCTTTCTTTTTGGGTCACCCTGCCTCGGTGGGAGACGGCCGACTTGTTTAAAAAAAAAAAAAAAATTATTACAATACTGCATAACAGTAAATCTATTTTTTTGTGTGAATAAAAATTCTTGGAATAAAAATCAAAATGGAATTCGTATGTAAAGCCTGGAAACGTAACTGATAAACAGAGGAAATGTTTTTTTGGTGCCAAGAATGACTGCATTATTTATTTTGGACCCTATTTTGAATTGGCCAAATTACCAATTTCTGATCACTTTATTGAAATACAGTGTAGTTGACTGGGCAATTTCTTGTGCTCATTTGACAAAATAGAAGACATACTAGCAAAATAGCTAAAAATTTGGTCAAACTGGAACAATGTATTTGGCCTAAAATAGGACTCGATGGGCAAAATCACCTATGCGTAAATAGAGCTGACAGGAAAATTCATGAAATCATAATTTTGTCAGTTTTTTATCAAATTTCGTACTGTTTGCTTTATTACCTTCAGAAAAAGATTCTCTACCATTTCATAAGGAAAAATAACTTTTTAACCCTTTGACTGTCGCGGCCGTATATATACGTCTTACGAGGTACCGTGTTTGACGTATACTCATAAATTCTAGCGGCTTCAAATCAAGCAGGAGAAAGCTGGTAGGCCCACATGTGAGAGAATAGGTCTGTGTGGTCAGTGTGCATCATATAAAAAAAATCCTGGAGCACGTAGTGCATAATGAGAAAAAAAAAACTCCGACCGTTTTTTTTAATTAAAATGCCGACTTTGTGGTCTATTTTCGTATAGTATTGATGGTTGTATTCTCGTTTTCTTGGTCTCATTTGATAGAATGGAAAACATATTATAGAAATAGAGGTGATTTTGATTGATTTTACTATAAAAAGAACCTAGAAATGGAGCTCAAAGTAGGGGAAATGTTTGACTTTTGACTATGTTCAAAAGTAAACAAATGATGCCATTGTCCAATAAATGTCCAACTAGCCATTCTAATATGCAGTCATGAATGGGTTGATGTTATTTATACAATTATTACAGTATTGCAGTAGTCTGCATAATAGTAAGTCTTCAATTTTTTGTTTGAATAAAAATTCAAAATAGAAAGCAAGAGTTATATCAGAGGGGCCTGGAGATATGACTGATGAGCAAAGAAAATGTTATTTTAGAGCCAGGAATGTCTGCATTGTTCACTCTGGACCTTATTTTGAAATTGTCATATTTTTTAGTTTTCGTGAAATTGGCCAAATTGCAAATTTCTGACCACATTATTAGGTAGTTGAAACCGGTAAATGGGCAGTTTCTTGTACTCAATCGATAGAAAAAATGGAGTTCTAAAGAAATAGCTATGAATTGTGGCGACTGGAACAATGGAATTAGCCGAAAATAGGGCTCAAAGTGGGCGAAATCGGCGATTTGTAAACAGCGCCGAGGTCGCTAACTTCGCGAGAGCATAATTCCGTCAGTTTTCCATCAAATTTCGTTTTTTTGGTGTCATTACAATCGGGAAAAGATTCTCTATCATTTCATAAGAAAAAAATAATTTTTTTTTTTTTAAATTTTGCGACACCAGGAGATACCTCAGGATTGGGGGTTGCGACAGTCAAAGGGTTAACTCTTCTTGGGCATGCGGAAAAGTTTCATATTGGGGGTCTGGACAGTGAGAGGGTTAACAGCATGGTGTACCTGAACCTACTGGCCCTTGCCTGTTCAGGTGCACCAATCCCATGTTTGCAAAAGCTAAAAGTACAGACAAATGAGATGGGTATATCTACATGCTACACGTATTCCTGCATATGCTAGAAGTTACAACTTAATCTGTCCATATCTTGCAAACATTGTACATGTAATATAATTGATTCCCTAAAACCACAAAATAATAATTAATTTTAAAAGAAAGAAAAAATACGAACCCAGTATTGGGGGGGGGGGACTTTCCAAGGACCTGCCATGAATACGAAAACCGTGGATAGTAACAAACCCTATATGTAAATCCTATACATGCCTATTATAAAATTTAATTGATAAATTATGCAAAATAGGTCAAAAATTATCATTTTTTCACTGATGAGAAGCATTTCACAGCTTCTCTTAGGCTTTGAAAATTGCTAGCATCTCTACTTTTGTGCTTTGGGGCCATTATTGTGCAAAATTAAGAGGTATTTTTGGGCCACAGTAAACCATGGATAACTGAAACCACAGATACCAAATCAGTGGATACAGGGGTTCTACTGTATATAAATATAAAACTTCTCATTTGTTTCCTGATCAGGTACATGTAATTTTATTAATCAACAATTTCATGTTTAGTATACACAGCATATATGCAAATTTTTTATATTAAATATTAGTACTGTAATGTTCACAAAAATTTCAGACATTTCATTTGAAATTTACATTTAGGAAATACATGTATTCATCACTTACTTAAAAAACTTACTTTAGGAGTAATTATGCAGATTTTGAATGGAGCAAGAATCCATGGCCATCTAATGCATTTACCCTGGGACAATACTTCCACTGCAGCTGCCATAATACGGGAAACTCCCAGACCATAACAACCCATTTGAAGTAACTCTGGTTTGCCTTTGTCATTCTGATAACATGCTTTAAGTGGTGCAGAATACTTCGTTCCTAGGAGAAAGGTGTGTCCAACCTAGTAATAAAAGTAATATTAGATGCTGAGAATGAGTATATATGGTATGTTGCTTCCAGGAGAAAGCTGTGTTTTACCTCGCAAGAATAATTATTACAATAATCTTAGTGCTACTTTTACTTACACTTAGGTTACACTACACATACATGTACAAGCATATATATACATACCCCTCTGGGTTTTCTGCTATTTTCTTTCTAGTTCTTGTTTATTTCCTCTTATCTCCATGGGGAAGTGAAACAGAATTCTTCCTCCGTAAGCCATGCGTGTTGTAAGAGGCGACTACAATGCCGGGAGCAAGGGGCTAGTAACCTCTTCTCCTGTATATATTACTAAACGTAAAAGGAAAAACTTGCGTTTTTCCTTTTGGGCCACCCCGCCTCAGTGGGATACGGCCGGTGTGTTGAAAGAAAGAAGAAAGAATCTTAGTGCAAAGGCAATCTAATGAGTAATATTATACTATTACCTATTAAGATTTAAGATTTATTTTTTTAACCCTTTGAATGTTTCAGTCGTATATATACGACTTACGAGGTACTGTTTGACGTATATATACTCATAAATTCTAGCGGCTTCAAATCAAGCAGGAGAAAGCTGGTAGACCCACATGTGAGAGAATGGGTCTGTATGGTCAGTGTGCACCATATAAAAAAAATCCTGGAGCACGCAGTGCATAATGAGAAAAAAAATATATGACCGTGTTTTTTTTTTTTTTTTTTTTTTTTAATTAAAATGCTGAGTTTGTGGTCTATTTTCGTATAGTATTTATGGGTGTATACTCGTTTTCTTGGTCTCATTTGATAGAATGGAAAACTTATTATAGAAACAGAGGTGATTTTGATTGGTTTTACTATAAAAAGAACCTGGAAATGGAGCTCAAAGTAGGGGAAATGTTTGATTTTTTGCTGATGTTCCAAAGTAAACAAATGATGTCATTGTCCAATAAATGTCCAACTAGCCATTCTAATATGCAGTCATGAATGGGTTGACATTATTTGTACAATTATTACAATATTGCAGTAGTCTGCATAACAGTAAATCTTCTATTTTTTGTTTGAATAAAAATTCAAAATAGAAAGCAAGAGTAATATCAGAAGGGCCTGGAGACGTGACTGATAAACAAAGAAAATTCTATTTTAGAGCGAGGAATGTCTGCATTGTTCATTCTGGACCTTATTTTGAAATTGTCATATTTTTTAATTTTCATGAAATTGGCCAAATTGCAAATTTCTGACCACGTTATTGGGTAGTTGAAATCAGTAAATTGGCAGTTTCTTGTACTCAATCGATAGAAAAAAAACGTTGTTCTAAAGAAATAGCTATGAGTTTGGTCGACTGGAACAATGGAATTAGCCAAAAATAGGGCTCAAAGTGGGCAAAATTGCCAATTTGTAAATATTGCTGAGGTTGATAACTTCGTGAGAGTGTAACTCCGTCAGTTTTCCATTAAATTTTTTTTTTTTTTTTGGTGTCATTATAATCAGGAAAAGATTCTCTATCATTTCATAAGAAATTTTTTTTTTTTTTTGCGCCACCAGGAGACACCTCAGGATTGGGGGTTGCGACAGTCGAGGGGTTAATGAACCTGTTGTATTTCACAGAGGCAGGGTGACATAAAAAGAAAACCAAAAGCTTTTCTTTTTAAATATAGTAATTTATACAGGAGAAGGGGTTACCAGCCCCTTGCTTCCAGCATTTTAGTTAAGATTTCATTTGGATTTTTAACCTTGGAGGGTTAGCCACCCAGGATAAGCCAAGAAAGGTAGTGCGTCATTAGGGACTGTCTGTCTGATTTCCATTGGGGGTCATATATATAGTGTACACTAATTTAAATGTTATAAAATACATAGTATCAAAGAACAATTAAATGTTTTGGTTCAGTTTTTGTAAATACATAAACTGTAACTATATTCTGTTTAAAGTTAAAAATTCACAGTGAAAGGAAACTTTTCATCTACTTAAAAATGGTCAAATATATAATATTTTACAACAAAAATAATCATACCTCTATTGCAAGTGTTTTGTTCAGCTGACCACCACATCTGGTGCAAAAGGCATCATCAGAGCTGGAAACCAGCGTAGCATTAGTCGAAAAATCACAACCATTACAAAGCAGCAGAGTATCTTCTCCTATGGCTGCTTGGTAATGGTATTCATGGGAAAGACTACCACCAATGTTACCTGAATCACCAGCAACTGTAGGGAATTATTAAAAAAAAAAATGGCTATAGTTTGGTATTAAGAAAGGAAAAAATCCAGGTGCCTATGATAAAACATACTGTAATAACTCTAAATACACGCACACCTTTCATTATGCTAAGCGATATAAACTTCAAGAAGGCAAATGATATAGTATTCACCTTCTTGACAACTTTACCTGAAGAAAATCTACATATTGTACATATGTACAATAAAAGTATGTATATCAAATGCTGGATAGTAAATAATGCACTTGTTGAACTAAGAGGTGTGTCACTGAATATTACATATGCATAAATTATTTAGGTTACTCCAACACCTGTACCTCATTTTCCAAAAGAATGAATCATGAATAGAATAATCTCTTGTATCCTTAAATATTAAGGTGATGTGAAAGAATTAGCTCATTCTATAACAGTGTACCGTTAAGTTGAGAAGATATTGATACACTATTAAAATGCATCATTAGCCTGAGAAGACTGATTAAAGCTATGGCACTAAACACCTTCTATCTAGGCTGAGGGGTTGCACTCCTCCAGATGACTTCTCCACTTCAACTAAGGCTGAGGGTCAGAACTCAATATCTCCACTTGTTCAAATATCATTGTGTAGGCTGAAAGACTCAACACCTCAAATCTATACTTCATCACCTGGTTTCAATATATTAATTGTGAGGGACTGGACACTTCAAAATCTTCACTTTAACTGTTGCTTATATATCACAGCAGATTCACACTTATCCATTTTCCACAAAAGTGTTAAAAAAGTCAGGAAAACATTTACTAACCTTTTAAGTATGGTATGCCAATTCTTTGAAAAATTCTATCATAGGCACTACCGATCTTGTTATAAGTGACAGAAGCTGCTGCTTCTGAGCAGTCAAATGTGTAGAGATCTTTCATTAGGAATTCTTTACATCTGAAAAATTTGGATATAATTAAAGAATAAATTAAAAAATATAGTAGAGTATTTATTACTTCTATTTTATTATTAGAGGCTAATTAATAGATTATTATTATTATATTCAAAGAGAAGCACTAAACCTGTAAGGGTTATAAAGCATCTAGGAAATGGGGTTAATTAGGTTTGATCCAAGGAAGGGGAGGGTAGCTATAACACCTTGAATCAAGAGCCCCTTCAACATCATAGCAGTCACTTGTAAGGGACTGATTAACAGAGCATGCCTACTGTGAGCAACTGTATATAGCCTCAATGTGACTATTGCAAACACTTGCCAGTTTAACTTTTCCTTCTTCTTTCAACAAACCGGCCGTGTCCCACCAAGGCAGGGTGGTCCAAAAAGAAAAATGAAAGTTTCTCTTTTTAAATTTAGTAATTTATACGGGAGAAGGGGTTGCTAGCCCCTTGCTCCCGGCATTTTAGTTGCCTCTTACAACACGCATGGCTTACGGAGGAAGAATTCTGTTCCACTTCCCCATGGAGACAAGAAGAAATAAACAAGAACAAGAACTAGAAAGAAAATAGAAGAAAACTCAGAGGGGTATGTATATATATGCTTGTACATGTATGTGTAGTGTGCCCTAAGTGTAAGTAGAAGTAGCAAGATGTACCTGAAATCTTGCATGTTTATGAGACAGAAAAAAGACACCAGCAATCCTACCATCATGTAAAACAATTACAGGCTTCCGTTTTACACTTAGCAGGACGGTAGTACCTCCCTGGACGGTTGCTGTCTACCATCCTACCACCAGTTTAACTCAAACATTATAAAGTTCTGTACAGTAGACCATTTAACAAGGGTTCTTTTTGCAAGTTTTCTCCATTACACTATAGCCAAATTGAGGCATATTCCCATCTAACACTTCGTAAAATTCATTTTACACGTTCTGCTTGTGAGTAGGGAAAAAATTTCAGTGCTGTAAGCTGGATGGCAGGGATTTGACCCTCTCTATGAAGTAAGTGCTGTGGGTCAGGCCATTGTCTTTGCGAGAGAGGCCTAGCTGTCTAGTGCTCTGTACATGTGTGTTCAGTACAATACCCAGTATTGTCTGTGAATTGGATTTTGATCTTTTCATTACCACATATTGCATCTTCCAAGGAACCATGGCACCCAGGAGGAAAGCAAGTGATGCAGAAGGGGCAGGGCAAAGTTAATAAACTTAAAAGTGGTTCATGTGTAGTGGATATGGCTAGAACATATGACTGACTGACGGACTTGACAATTTACTGAATGATTTGACTGATTTATTGACTGACTTGACTACCATCCACATCAACTCAGTAGGACCACAGCATGCCTTTCCACTCCCTTCACAATCAACAAACACTAGCAACCACAGTTTAGGGTAAGAAATATTATTTCTGTTGCATTTGTACCCTTGAACAATAGAAAATACAACAAAAATTAATAGTTGCATTATCATTTTAATTTTTGTAACATTTGGAGACCTATAAAAAAAAAGTTTTGTTTTTTTGGGGGGTCTCAAGAACGTAACCCTATCCTTCCTTTAAATTCTTCAGTTCCTTTAATACGGATTTGTCTAACGCTGCATTTTCAGGAACCTAACTACCGTGTTAATCGACGGTCTACTATACATACAAAATCTTGCCCACAGAATGCAATTTATTGTGATTAATGGTAACTGGTTTAAAATTTGTCCACCTTTTGGGTGTTGTTAAGCACAATTTGTAGCAAGAGTTGATATTACAGTTTTGTGGACTCTGTACGAGTTCTGGATTACTGTGCAGTACATTTAATGCCCAGCATTCAATAAGCAGATAGTCCGAACTCATGAAGCTTTTTTGTTCATAAGGTGCCACAAATAGGAGCTAGGTCACCATCTCTATTTTTATGTAAAAAATTTTTTAACTGAAATACTATAGAAGAAAATATATAATACAGTTGTGCAAAAATTGCAGACAAGTAATACAGGATGCAAAGCAACCATGGGGGGGGGGGAGTTGAATGACAGCCCTAGGCCTTTTGTGTTGCAATCAATACATCAGGAGCTTGCAGTGCTGCAAAAGAGAGGAGGTCCCAGGAAATACAATCACAAAGAGTGCCTTTGCTGGAACTCTGGTGGAGGCACTCCCTGTGATCATATTTGCTTGGACCTCTCTTTTGCAACATTGCAAGCTCCTGAGTTGATTGCAACAGAAAAGGCCTAGAGCTATCATTCAACTCTCCCTGTGGTTGTTTTGGATATACAGTAGGGCCACGCTTTACAGCGTTTCACCTTACAGCATTCCGCTAATAAAGACATTTCAAATTATGACCAAAACTCACTATATAGCTCCCCCTGTCTTTCTAATATGGTGCATCCCACCCGGTTTGTTTACATTCTCCATGAGCGCACACCTCTATTATATCGTTTATGTCGTTTATGATGGCATTTAAAGGTAATTGTTAGAAATGATTAAACTTGGTGAACAAGGTATATCGATGGTAAAAATATGGCTCTGGGCCACATTAAATATCGTATAGCTATGTAGCCCAGGTGGACTACATAGCTACATCTACCATCTACCTATACCTGACTTCCTACAAATAAATACTACTCGCCTCTCATCCTACATTAAGACTACACCTATTTTAAGGTAAATAATGAGTGTACTGTATGTGTATTTTGTCTCTGGGCTGCTTTAAATGTATATTAAGTTTGGGATGGGGAGCCATGGCTACCTACACCTGCCTTCTTACAAATAAGTATTACTCACCTCTTGCCCTACATGAAGACTGCGAATATTTTAAGGTAAATAATGAATATACTGTGTATGTATTTGACTTTTTATTGTTTTTAATGCCCAGTTCTACTGTTAGCTTAATATATGTTAGTGTAAATGTCTTGTCTGGCATTTGTATGCATTTACAATGGAAAAAATAGCGTTCTGCTTTCCAGCAATGTCCGTTATAAGTGGGGCCCTACTGTACTGTATTAAGAAAATACTTAACATACTGCTTGAATCATAGTATTTAATGCATTTTTACTAATGTTCAGTGCTGTAGAGCCCTTGTGGCTTAGCGCTTCTTTTTTATTATAATAATAATAATACTAAAGTTCAGATGTTAGTCACTCCTACTACTTGCAGTACATTGTATTCATTGCTTCCTTACTCCAGCCTTTTTCCTTTCATAAGTGTCACATTTATGTGGTAGGGAGATTCCATGAATTGCAGTTTGGTAATTACTGGTATTGTCTTCCAGGTACTACTGTCCATGAACAAAGACTCGAAGTGTACCCACATGCTCAGTAATGAGGTATTGAATGAAGAGCCTAGCAGCTTCGTTAGTTTAAATAGCGAGATATTTGCCCGTTAATCAAATTTTAGTGCTGTATGAACCTTAATGGGTTTAGTGCTTTTCATCAATAAAATAAATTATCAAATAGTATTTATACATAAAAGTATTAGAAGGTCAACACAAAGGAAAACATTCCTGTATTTATGTATTTACATAATTTTCTTTGTCAAATAGTTTGACATAGTGGATACTGAAAATAACAATCAATTAGTCAAATATCCTTTAATAAAATTACATTCTCATTACACAACCTAAATAATGCTCTGCAATAGCTTCCTTTATTTCAATAAAGTCCTTGTGTGCCTATAAGAGCAAAGAAATATTTTGATGACCAGAACACCATGAATTAACACTACTTTAAAAACAACCAATATACACTGATGAGCCAGGATACAGACCATGATGCAACCCTACATGGCATTTTTGTCATCCTGCTATCCTGTCTGACCATTCATACTCTGTAATTGGGTACAGTACTGTTTTTTTTTTTTATCACACTGGCCGATTCCCACCAAGGCAGGGTGGCCCGAAAAAGAAAAACTTTCACCATCATTCACTCCATCACTGTCTTGCCAGAAGGGTGCTTTACACTACAGTTTTTAAACTGCAACATTAACACCCCTCCTTCAGAGTGCAGGCACTGTACTTCCCATCTCCAGGACTTAAGTCCGGCCTGCCGGTTTCCCTGAACCCCTTCATAAATGTTACTTTGTTCACACTCCAACAGCACGTCAAGTATTAAAAACCATTTGTCTCCATTCACTCCTATCAAACACGCTCACGCATGCCTGCTGGAAGTCCAAGCCCCTCGCACACAAAACCTCCTTTACCCCCTCTCTCCAACCTTTCCTAGGCCGACCCCTACCCCGCCTTCCTTCCACTACAGACTGATACACTTTTGAAGTCATTCTGTTTCGCTCCATTCTCTCTACATGTCCGAACACCTCAACAACCCTTCCTCAGCCCTCTGGACAACAGTTTTGGTAATCCCGCACCTCCTCCTAACTTCCAAACTATGAATTCTCTGCATTATATTCACACCACACATTGCCCTCAGACATGACATCTCCACTGCCTCCAGCCTTCTCCTCGCTGCAACATTCATCACCCATGCTTCACACCCATATAAGAGCGTTGGTAAAACTATACTCTCATACATTCCCCTCTTTGCCTCCAAGGACAAAGTTCTTTGTCTCCACAGACTCCTAAGTGCACCACTCACTCTTTTCCCCTCATCAATTCTATGATTCACCTCATCTTTCATAGACCCATCCGCTGACACGTCCACTCCCAAATATCTGAATACATTCACCTCCTCCATACTCTCTCCCTCCAATCTGATATTCAATCTTTCATCACCTAATCTTTTTGTTATCCTCATAACCTTACTCTTTCCTGTATTCACCTTTAATTTTCTTCTTTTGCACACCCTACCAAATTCATCCACCAATCTCTGCAACTTCTCTTCAGAATCTCCCAAGAGCACAGTGTCATCAGCAAAGAGCAGCTGTGACAACTCCCACTTTGTGTGTGATTCTTTATCTTTTAACTCCACACCTCTTGCCAAGACCCTCGCATTTACTTCTCTTACAACCCCATCTATAAATATATTAAACAACCACAGTGACATCACACATCCTTGTCTAAGGCCTACTTTTACTGGGAAAAAATTTCCCTCTTTCCTACATACTCTAACTTGAGCCTCACTATCCTCGTAAAAACTCTTCACTGCTTTCAGTAACCTACCTCCTACACCATACACTTGCAACATCTGCCACATTGCCCCCCTATCCACCCTGTCATACGCCTTTTAAACCAAATCCATAAATGCCACAAAGGCCTAAAATAAACACAGGTGCTCCTTGACTTAGGATGGGGTTACATTCCAATGAACCCATCACAAGTTGAAAATATCCTAAGTCAAATATGATATAATAAATATAAAAGTAAATAAGCGACTACTGTCACCAAATAAGGAAATAAATAATTACCGTAAATACCGATATTGAAAAGTAAACAAATGAATACAAGTTTATCCTAAAGAAGTATATGCTAGGGTGTTTGGGAGAGGGGTGGGATTAAATTATGGGGAATTAAATACAAAACAGAAAGTGACAGTTACTTTTTGCTGATGATAATGTGCTTATGGGAGATTCTAAAGAAAAATTGCAAAGGTTAGTGGATGAATTTGGGAGTGTGTGTAAAGGTCGAAAGTTGAAAGTGAACATAGAAAAGAGTAAGGTGATGAGAGTATCAAATGATTTAGATAACGAAAAATTGGATATCAAATTGGGGAGGAAGAGTATGGAAGAAGTGAATGTTTTCAGATAATTGGGAGTTGACGTGTCAGCGGATGGATTTATGAAGGATGAGGTTAATCATAGAAATTGATGAAGGAGAAAAAGGTGAGTGGTGCATTGAGGTATATGTGGAGGCAAAAAATGTTATCTATGGCGGCAAAGAAGGGAATGCATGAAAGTATAGTAGTACCAACACATTTATATGGGTGTGAAGCTTGGGTTGTAAATGCTGCAGCGAGGAGGCGGTTGGAGGCAGTGGAGATGTCCTGTCTAAGGGCAATGTATGGTGTAAATATTATGCCGAAAATTTGGAGTGTGGAAATTAGAAGGTGTGGAGTTAATAAAAGTATTAGTCAGAGGGCTGAAGAGGGGTTGTTGAGGTGGTTTGGTCATTTAGAGAGAATGGATCAAAGTAGAATGATGTGGAGAGCGTGTAAATCTGTAGGGGAAGGAAGGCGGGGTAGAGGTCATTCTCGAAAAGGTTGGATGGAGGGAGGGGGTAAAGGAGGTGTTGTGGGTGAGGGGTTTGGACTTCCAGCAAGCATGCGTGAGCTTGTTAGATAGGAGTGAATGGAGACAAATGGTATTTGGGACCTGACGAGCTGTTGGAGTGTGAGCAGGGTAATATTTAGTGAAGGGATTCAGGGAAACCAGTTATTTTATATAACTGGACTTGAGTCCTGGAAATGGGAAGTACAATGCCTGCACTCTAAAGGAGGGGTTTGAGATATTGGCAGTTTGGAGGGATATATTGTGTATTTATATATGTATATACAGTACTTCTAAACTGTTGTATTCTGGGCACCTCTGCAAAAAGAGTGATTATGTGTGAGTGAGGTGAAAGTGTAGAATGATGATGAAAGTATTTTCTTTTTGGGGATTTTCTTTCTTTTTGGGTCACCCTGCCTCGCTGGGAGACGGCCGACTTGTTGAAAACAAAAAAGTTTATCCTATCAATAAATGTACAGTACTGTATAGTACAAAAAAAGTTTTACACCATCGTGAAGTCAAAATATTGTAAGTCAAACCATTGTAAAGTGAGGAGCATCTGAACTACTAAACAGGCAGAAAAGTATGTAAGTTCATTTTCTGAAATAGTGGAATAATTAGAGACCCAGAAAAAGATGAGTAATTTTAAATCTGCTAAAGATATGATGGAGCCAAAACCTAATGCAAAACACAAGATTAGTTATGCCCTTGAAGAATGTAATCAAGAAAGTCAATAGCATTTTGCACTACTGCATAAGCTTAGGGCCATCAGTATACACAGCAAGTTTATCAGTGTTCAACTGAAAAGGTTCAGGAAAGAATACACAATTCCAATGAAGACAAGTAAGCCTTTAGAAAAGGAAGATGGGAAAGGCTAATGAAGAGCACAGATTTTCTAAGGTGCAAGCTCAAAATAAGAGGTAAGAAAAACACCAAAAAGGGAATTCACATTGGTTTGAATATATTTCTTAAAAAGGCTGCAGTAAGGATGCCAACAGAAATTATCAGAATTAATAACATCAGTGAGAATGCTGTAGGTTTTGGGATCATAAAGCATGAAAACAAAGCAATGGATGTAGCGGGTATTATGGCAGTCCTTATAACACTGCATCAGAATACTCAATAAGGGCCTTGACAGAGAAGGACTAAAAGGCTGACCCCTCACTGATGCCAAAACAAAAGTAAACCCTGTTGAAGCATGGTATCCATCCTGAAGAGAAGTTACAGTACACCTGGTCCCTAGTCCAACTTTAGATAAGGACAAAGGAGGCTACATCCAGGAGATGAGACAAAATCCAAGTGAATTTACCCTGACAAGCTATCACTTTTGAGATGAGAGAAATACAATGTGATGCTTTAATGGCATATCAACTGAAGAGAAAAGCAGATTTTGTGGTCTGGCAGACAATAATAGGGAATCTTTAGAGGAAATCTATAATAGGGAATTAGAGTGTACCATGAAAGCTGCAAATTGCATTTTGGGCAGAGAACCTGAAGCATCATACAAAGGCTCAACAGGAAGCCTTGTCAGTAAATTATTGTAATGAGGTGACCACCAACTAACCATCCATACTAGCATAAGATCAGGTAAAGACATCAGACAAAGACTAGAGCACAGGAAAAGTTTTGGAAATCCACTGATAGCAAGGAGGAAAAATAAAGTACAATAGTAATGGTAAGGACACAACCCTGAGGAACTGAACAGTTTGAGGAACAGCTGTTATGGATTCAATACAAAATCTTAGTCATAAAATTCTGTATTAGAGGTTCCAACAGACCACAAGAATGTGCCCGAGATAAGATGTGACCATGCCCCATAGTGTTTTAGGACCATTTAAGCATGAAAAATGCAGTAATAGGCAAGTTATGATTAACAAAGGCTCTACAAAAAAGTAGATCCTTAGAGAAATGACCTTTTCAAAGATCAAAGGCTGCAGGATGAAGAGATAAAAAAAAATATGTATCTGTAGGTATTTTAACACACTAGGCATGTAGAGTATTAATCATATGCTCCAGCAACTTACAAATGGAGATGTTAAAAATGAGGTTATATGTTGTGCCCTGAATTGTTTGGTTGTGGAAAGTCGAGAAAAGTCCTTTATTGAAGGAGTAAGATGATGCAAAAATCCACCGCAATTAAAGATTTATAATAGGAAGGTAAGAAATGAAGCATGTGAATGTGGATCATCTGGTCTTACCCCATAAACACATATCTTGTTAATGCTAAGGTAAATTCTGCAAGGAAATTCATTCATTAGCAGTATTGTACTGTATACTAGCATGTGATGAAATTCAGTATGGCAGATTCCTGCATGGTCTTATAATGTAGAAAGCCAGGAGGAAAACGAGACCCCTTTGAGATCTTAACCATGACAGCCATGTTGTTGAACCACTATAGCAGGAGCTGCTATCTTTGTGTGAGCAACTTAATCACAGGAGAAGGTTAGAGTGAAAGCCAGCTAGCAAGCTTCTGCACCTTCCATACTGCACTCATAAGGGCAATGATCTAGAGGAGAAAAGATGGAGACAAGCCTGCCAGCAGTTTCATTTTCTAATCATACAACCCACTGAACTGTAATGTCATTGTATTTCTGGCAAGAAGTGTGACAATGCATGCATTTTTTTTTTGGGGGGGGGATCACCTACCTCGGCGGGAGGGAGATGGCAAGTGTATTAAAAAAGAAAAAATGAGTAAGGGTTCTGGTTTTCTTTGATGCCAGCCAGCCAAGCTCAGCTCACCAGTTGTCATCCAGCTAGTCAAATGAGCTGTCAATAACACTGGTGGCATGAAGTCTAGGATGACTTTGTTGCTTAGTTCCAATTAATGTATGAATAGAGTCAACCATGCAATAGAATATAACATTTTAGACCTGGAACTAAGCTATAAACATTGTACAGTAATTCTAAATGTAAATGTTTTGGGATTATGCCTAGTGCATTACAAATATACAATTAGGAACAAAAATTGCAGAGACACCATTTATATTACTGTATTTTAGATTATATATTGGAGATAAAAAAATTTTTTAATACAAATTTATGATCAGAAATTTGTAAACATGAGTGTGGGAATGGAAAGGGACAGAAAACAGTAATACTGGAGTAAATTACTATACTTAACCAGGACAGTCACACATGTAAAATGAATCGAAGGTGCCACGACATCCAAAGGTTATTTAGGGAAAAAAAAGGAAAAAGTATAATTTTTAAGTTTGTCACCTTAAGAGACCAAACCGTGGCCTTGATTCATCTCGAAACTTGCTTGTGATCTGGTAGAGGTGAAGAGGTAGTTGTCTATATGAAAGCGGATAGATATCTGACATCAGTGATGTTATTGCTTCTTCATGGGTCTGAAGAAAATAAATAAATGCAGCTACCTTATCCATTAATAATCAGTTCATTCTTTTTATATTGTATATATATATTTAAATCATTTCACTCTCTCTCACATTGATTTATGTTACTGATGCCAGTATTGCTTGCATAAATCTAAAGTCCTAAGCACAGTGCCCTCAAATATGCTATGAATGGTAAATTTTGGCCTAAACATGAGAGAATGGGTCTGTGAGCTGTGTGTGTACTGTATATAAAATAAAATCCTGCCTAACAGTGCATGAAGAGAAAAGCAAACATCTAACCTTGTGTTTGATTAAAATAGCAACTTTGAGGTGTTTTCCTGGGTGGTTTTTATAGTTTTATTGGCTGATTCTTGATATCAATGGATACTAGTGAAACAGATGATTTTGGTCAGTTTCAGACTGGAAGTAGCATGAAATAGGCCTCAAAGTGGCAGAAATGTTGGATTTTTGGCAATTTTCCTGAGATGGGTAGGGACCCCCCATTGGTCTGTTTTATGGGTTTTTACTAGACTGTCTTTAATTATTAGGATGGTCTAAGCCATGACCAATCATTCTTGGTTATATTTTATTAATCCAAGAAATAGGGTAAAACTTACATTTTTCATGTGATGGATTCAAAATGGAAGGTAAGTGTTACATAGAGAAGCCAGGGAATGTGATTAATGAATGGAAGAAAGGTTGCTTTAGCAGCTAGAATGATGGTGTTTATTTTGGAATCTTTAAATTGGAATTTGTTGAATTTTGTGTGAAAATGGTAAAGTTACCAACTTCTGTGCACTTTATAGCTTAGTTCTGGTAGTTGAATAGGTAGTTTCTTGCACTTGGTCAAAAGTACAGAAGGCAAGCTAATGAAATAGCCATGAATTAGAGCCAATTTAGCAATGCAACTGGCTTAAAATACAACTCAGTGGGCAAAATTGCTGTGTAAATTACACCCAGATTGCCTACTTTGTGCCTATGTGGTTTACTAAGTTTTCCATTAAATTTTGCATTTTTGGTGTCACCTTCAGAAAAAATTTTCTGCCATTTCATAAGATTTTTTTTTTCTAAAATGCAACCCCATCAGCACTTAATTTTGGGGTGGAGCAACAGTGAAAGGGCTAATTAGCCTAATATAGGTAACATTTTGCCAAAATATTTTAATCAGCGAAGCATGTCTAAATATATCGTGAATTTTAGTGCTTCTCTATAATAATAATTAATCTGTGATAGTGAACTTTACTCAGCCAGTGTAACAAAAATGTCATATTGATTTCACTAAAACAAACACTACATGTATATACTTTATTTTCTTTATTACAAACAATATTAAGTAGGCTTTATTTACAGTTCTATAATCAGGTACATGTATATATTTTATGCTGTTGAATGTCTGGTTCTGTTAGAAACACTGAACTGATTAACATCATTATTGCAAGTTAGTGGCATGAAGCCGTGAGACCACAATGAATGATATGACTGGTGCCAAATCTGTGTACCAAAATGACTCCCTACAGGATCGAGTCTGACAATTTGAGCAATGTAATTTTTGTGAGGTAGAAATATAGCAGACAAGAAGGGTATGAGTGATAATTGGAATCTGGATAGGTAATTTTTATTAGATACATTTAGTACTGATATTCCATTCTGGTGGTACAAAATACATTTTGTATTATGTAGTGATTCATCAAACAAAAAATGTAATATATACAGTACAAGAGGGCCCTGTATTTACAGCACCCTCTTTTTGGTGTTCCACATTTTCATTGGCTTGCAACTAAGTTATTGTTAACATAATATAATTTATTTCAGCATGATACAGTGGTTGTACAAAAGAGAATGAATGACATTAGGTGTACATGCCAAAAGCCCCTGTATATGCAGAGCATTTCAGGCAAACTTAAGATTGAGGGCAATAACACTTAAATTTAGGAGTTTACAATTAATACAAGATAACTGAATATCGCATTAGTTCATTCTATATGGCTTTAATAAGTATAATGGAGAGAATTACAGATTTAGGAGGGTTACAGATAGAGTAAGGATATGTTTTTAGTGTTTTACATATGTTCATGACACTGAGAATATTCATTTAAAGATTTTACATATTTAATTGATGCTGGGATATGTTAGGGAGATAAGATGCTTTTTTAACAGTTTTTAACAATTTTTGCAGAGATTTAGCCGGACACGGGGAATGTCAGAGATTTTTTTGCCTAGTATTATGTCTATATGTCCTGTTGCAACTGTCAAGAAACTGCTTCAGTTCAGGATTTATATTAGATTTTATTGCTCTGAGAATGTAGGATGCACAGAAGTAAGAGTGAATGTTTTGTATAGTGAGTAGGTTTTAGGTCTTTGAAGAGATGGGGGGGTATGTTGTCTAGCAGTGGAATGTGTAATCATATGCACTGCAGCTTTTTGTTGGGATATTATTGGATTTAGGTGTGTTGCTATTGTGGATCCGCAGGCACAAATAGCATAGGTGAGGTAGGGGTAGATTGGTGCTTTGTACAGTTTTTCCTCCTCTTTCATACAACAGTTGCATAAGAGAAGGGTGACTGACTCCATATTTTAAGGTAAGAATTGTATGTACTGGGTATTTATTTTACTATTTTATGTTTTTTATGCCTAGCAGTACTGAGCACTTAACCCATCCAGGGTGAGTCTCGTTGTACTATGGCTTTGAAGCCCGAGTCAGTCCCATTGTTTGTGACAAGCTCAGCTCTTCCAGATAAGCTGTGAGCAGTAAATTGAGGCCTAGATGTGAGAGAATAGGTCTGTGCAGTAAGTGTGCACCATATAAAAAAAGCAAACTTACAGTGAAAAATGAGAAAAAACTGCAACCGTGCTTTTAGTTTAAAACAGCGACTTTACAGTGTATTTTTGTTTGGTTTTTATGGTGATGGAGTGAATGATGGTGAAAGTTTTTCTTTTTCGGGCCACCCTGCCTTGGTGGGAATCGGCCAGTGTGATAATAAAAAATAATAATAATTTTCTTGGTTTTATTTCATTTCAATACCTTCGGAAAACAAGTATCATTTCACAAGAATTTTTTTTTTTAAATTCTCCGACTCTGAGAGCAGGTTTCAGATCAGGGATTCCAACTTTGAAAGGGTTAATATATTATGATAGTGTACACACATTATCAGGCACTTTAGATGCATTCAGTAATAAAAACTGATCTGGTGATTTTTGCTTACTGCACAAGGTTGGAAACTTGAGAGCCATACAAACTGGGCTGTCCTATACTACAGTATGTAAGCAACTATAAATGTACAAATCATAACTTATAAAAAAAATTGTATATGTTTATTTTTTGCTGAACTTGCTAAATCTACCAGTAGAATAAATTTTGTAACTGCTCAAAATGATGACACGTCAAGAAGAGAAGAAACACATTAGCGTGCCCACACCAGAGGTAGAAGGTTGAGGATAGTCAGGGTTTTCTGCACTATTATCAATATCCTGGTCATTCCTTTCGGTCACTAACTGATCAAAGCTAAAGAATTCGTCTTCATTTCCACTTCCATCAGTCAGAACTATCAGGAAGAGAAGAGTCCCAATTTTTCTTGGAGTGAGAGCTGCCTTGCGACGAGGCATGGTGAACAAAGGTAACTGAGCTGGCGTTCCCACAATGCTACGCGGGCGCCTAGAATTTGTTTACGGCGCGAGCACACCATACAGACCCGTTCTCTCACATGTAGGCCTACCAGCCTTTTCACGCTAAATTTGACGCCGCTAGAATTTTGGCATACATCTACGGTTTGGACCCTGAACGTAAAGCCATAGATCTACAGCACAGACCCTGAAAGGGTTAAACTACATTCACTTGTAAGACAAAGAATGAGGGGAGACATGATCGAAGTGTATAAGTGGAAGATGGGCATTAACAAAGGGGATATAAATAAGGTTTTGAAGATATCCCTTCAAGAAAGAACCCACAATAATGGATTCAAATTAGATAAGTTTAGATTTCGAAAAGATAAAGGAAAGTATTGGTTTGGAAATAGGGTAGATAATGAGTGGAACAGTCTGCCTAGTTGGGTTATTGAAGCTAAAATGTTTGGTAGTTTCAAATTTAGGTTAGATAAATACATGAGTGAGAAGGGTTGGATTTGAGTGAGATTTGCATAATGAGTAAATAGAATCATCAAAACTTTTTCTTGGGTAGCATTGATAATTGGGTTGGCAAATATTTTGTTAGTGGGAAGGATTGTAAAGGACCTGCCTAGTATGGGCCAACAGGCCTGTTGCAGTGTTCCTTCTTTCTTAGGTTCTTATTAGTATCTTGTACTTAATACTTACTGGACTAAGCACATGTTCGTTTTTGTGGCGGTCTGATGTTGTCATTAACTCTTCACCAGTTGATTCCCAGCGACCTTTGAAAAATAGCATAATTTATAAGTCAAATGCATACAAATAGACTATATATAATACAAATAGGTAAACTTGATTGACCCCTTCACAACATAAGTGTTTCAACAACTTGTGGCCCTTACTGTGAGGCAAACTCCGTTTTGCATAACACCAGACAGCTACCAGACCATTAGGAAATTATACTTCAGTTAATAATAATTTTTTTTTTTGGACACTGGCTTCCTCCCACCAAGTTAGGGTGACTCAAAAAAGAAACATTTTCACCATCATTTAATCTATCACTGTCTTGCCAGAGGTGTGTAGATACTATAGTTAAGATGCCCCTCCAGACTGCAAATAATACATAAATGGAACAATAAATTGAAAACTCAGAATTTCTGGCAAGCTAGAAAACTAAAAAACAGAGAATTTCTGGCAAACTAGATTAGGAATAAGACTTAAAACTAGAAGATTAGTCTACAACTGGCAATTGCTCAATAATTTTATGCAATAACTGGTTAGAAATGCTTGTACCATTTAGGTACAAAATACTTGTTTCAGCTGTAATTAGAAGACAGTGAGTATTTTGCAGTTTTTCAATTCATCTGATTAGGTATTCCAAATTTTTGTCACATTAATTTGCTGAAGAAGCCACTGGCTGGCAAAACGTTTCCTCAATAAAGACTTCCAAATGTTGCAAGAGTGTCTCATTCTTCGACTTGTCAATTTTCTAAACCATTTACATGACAATTTCTGCAATGTTCTATTGAACATGAAGTAATGTACATCAAAGAACTGATATATGGACTTAGGATGTCCTCAACCTACGTTAAAACCAACTTACGATGCCTGTCAGCGTAAAAATTTGACCCCGACATATGTTGAAAAACTCAACTTGCATCATTCGTCCTGTATGCGTCCACACGTCTATCTGGGCTGAGCGCCTCAACTGAGCTAGTGTGGCATTGTTCACAAGCCGGAGTGGACAGTTGCACGCATACATTCAATAAATTTTGTATTCCAGTGTTTTTAGTGCTTGTAACTGCTAAATAAGCCACCATGGGCCCAAAGAAAGCTTCTAGTGCCAACCTTGTGGTAAAAAGGGTGAGAAATACTATCAAAATACTATCGTACCACGGTTAGCTGCTGCTGCACCATGGTCAGCTGTACTACTCGAAGATGTGGAGAGACTGTTATTGGTGTGGCTTATTGAGAATACTGAGAAACAATTAACCCCAGAGGGTTAGCCACACAGGATAACCCAAGAAAGTCAATGTGTCATCAAGAACTGTCTAACTTGTTTCCATTGGGGTCCTTAATCTTGTCCCCCAGGATGTGACCCACACCAGTCAACTAACACCCAGGTGAACAGGAAAAAATGCCTGGAACTAGTGCTCATACTGGTGAATTTAAGGCCAGCAAAGGTTGGTTTGAGAGATTTAAGAATTGTAGTGGCATACACAGTGTGATAAGGCCTGTTCTGGAAGAAAATGCCAAACAGGACCTACATTACTCAGGAGGAAAAGGCACTCCCAGGACAGTGTCTCATCACTCATCACTACATCTTCAATAAAGGTAAGTGTCATTTATTCTTCATTTAGTAAACTAGTACATGCACAATATATATTGTGCATGTATCCTTTTTGTGTGTAGGAAAATGTGTATTTCATGTGGTAAAAATTTTTTTTTTTATACTTTTGGGTGTCTTGACTGGATTAATTTGATTTCCATTATTTCTTATGGAGAAAATTAATTCGACTTATGATAATTTCGTCTTACGATGTGCTCTCAGGAACAGATTAATATCGTAAGTCGGGTCCACTACATTTGTTTTTAATGTGATACCTCTTGTGTTGTTAACCCTTAAATAATGTTGTGTGAGCAACTGTATGTGACAAACAAATACAAACTGTTTCCCACATTCTTACAATTTGAGATGATGTAAGCTATAGCTGGTGAACGTCTTTGGTCTTGAACTCCAAATTTATAGCCAGTTAAGAAGTCTGTGCGCTGCATGCCCTACCACGGACTGAAAGTCCTGGCAAGAGGACAGTACTTTGAGTTTATGGGAAGAGCGATGAGGAGTTACTGTGCAAGTGCTCCAGATAATGGTGACTGATACTGTACCAGTGGTAATACTTGGAACGTACATGTAATTGAAGGAAGAATGTAGATAAAATTTTAAATAAAGAAAATATCATAAGTTCAATCTGACAATGATACAGGTCATCCATCACTAATCTGGCATCACTGGGACCTGTAGGGTGCTAAATTAGTGATTTTGCTGGATCACAGAGTGGTTAGGTTAGAATACACTTAACCTAACAGCTAACCACCTCATCCTACCTCTAAAACACCCCATAAATCAGTACAAGTTAGTTAATAAAGTTAACCAACTTGAATTACACAAAGTTCATAACTGCCACATCCAAAGTGAAGAGCTAAAATTTACAACTAAGCACATTTACATGTTGAGGTGAAGGGCTGTCAAGATTTCCATCTTCGTCATCTTGGAAGGTGACTGAGATGTCAGAAACTGATGATGGTGACAGCACATCTGGGTGAGCAGATGTTGAAGGCACTAGATTTTCAAGTGGCGACTCCTCTGTAGCATGCTTTTAGCTATTTTTCTGAACATATCTTACAAGCTGATCTGTTTCATATATTTTGGCCTTTAATTAGTTTATCCTGTATCATGTAAATGTTCATTAATTCTTGTTTACTTACAAAATTGCATTGCTCTAAACCTTTTAGCAGTTCACCTGTCAACTGAATTAACCTATTAATACAGACTCTTTCTACTATATCTACCTCATTTTCATCACTGCTTTCTCCACTGGCTTCTTGCTGTGGACTTAAAACCATCTTCACAATTTCCGAGTCAGTATAATGATGAACAGTAGCTACATCTTCATCTACATTCATTCATTCCCAACATTATCTTCATCCATCCTCAATGCAAGATCCCTTGCAGCAAGATTAGCCAGATACAAGCAAAAGAAATTAGCTGAAATTAGTGCTGGATCAGTGATGGCTAACCTGTACTAGTAATTCTTTTATGTACCAGGTTCAATACCCTGCATGTTTGTTTGAGTGCTTTAATTGCATTGACTGTTTTGTTTTCATTTTTATTTCTTTAAATTTTAGTGGAGAAGCTGAAAATTGTCCTCATTGGACATCATGTTATTTTCTTAAATATTAAAGTTAAAAATTTAGTTATAAAAAATACATGTACATACCTGTTTTTTTCCACAGATGACCACTGGTAAGGAGAGGCAACAGCAGCTTCTGTGCACCAATGTGTCTCATCTCTTCATCAATTATAGCTGTTAATTTGTCGATTACCCGTTGGCCAAGTGGCAACAGTGCAAACATGCCATTGCTCCTTGAGTTTATTATTCCACAATTCACCAACAACTGGAAAAGAATACTGTCATCATAGCATTAAGAAACACACACACAATTTAAATAACTTTTACATCAATTGAGCAGTGTGACATCACTACCTAGTATAAAATAGTTTGAAATAGTGTAAATATTTGGTTGAAACTTTTGTTATTACTGTACCATATGCTTAAACTCAACATCTAAAAATTTACCATTAATATATTCCATTGTTTCTGTCATTATTTGTTAGTATCACATAATTAAGATTATGCTATGACCACTGTTATTCATCTTCACCTCCCCACCCCATTTCCCACTTCTGTTCTTCTCCATAAGAATGTAAAAACAATCCTAGTTATCCACATGCCACTCCTCTTGCCTTTCATGAAAGAAACAAATACAACTGTATAATCCTTAAGGTATGCAAACTATGGTATGCTGGTACAACAAAGTGTAATGAACTCTGATCAGTGAGAGAAAGAGAGGGGGGGGGAGGGTTGAGGAAATCCACAGATGAAAACAAGTTAGAAGGGACTGAAGGGTAGTCTATGTAATTTGACCTCTAGCCAAGATTCTTTCCAGCAGAATACAAAGCAATGAGGGGAGCACAGAATATTTATACTGGAAGGTTAGTAGAGGCAGAGCCTCTTCGGTTGTTATACGATATCTCCTGATGGCTGACATTCTTCAGAGATATGAAAGGGTGTAGAACATAACTTCTCATGTTAGCTTGTCCATGTACAGTATGGTAATGTTGGAGTTGGTTTTAGGGTATATTACCCAATAAGTATAACCACCTTTCTTTCCTATATTTTTCTTTGTCCCAGAAATATTAAATTGATTTGGTTATTGAAACATATGGATGAACCCAGTGAGTATTATTTCTTGCAATAATAATCATCATTGCTATTGTTTATCACTATATCCACGGATATTCAAATATTGCTATGTACTGTATTGTAAATGCAATTATTAATATGTATTGTACTATACAGTAATTCTATTAACACTTCAGCCATCTCCCACCATCACTCTATCACTGTCTTGCCAGAGGCATGGCAACACTACAACTTGGATGCCCCTCCCCCAAACTGTAAATATCTCCATCCCTTTTTCAGAGTGCAGGCACTACTACTCACCTCCAGGACTTGTATCAGTTAACTAGTGTCCCTGAACTTCTTCATAAATGTTACCTTGCTCACACAAACAGCACATAGTCATAAAAGCACCTGCCTCCACTCTTATCTAACACACTCGCACATGCCTGTTGGATGACTAAGCCCCCCACACACAAAACCACTTTTAGTCCCTCCTTTGAACCATTCCTAGGACGACCCCGAACCCTCCTTCCCTCCAATATAGATTTATACATCCTCCAAGTGATCCTAGTTTACTCCATCCTCTTTAAATGTTAAAACCGCCTCAACTCCTCTTCAGTCCTCTGGATAACAAATACTCTTAGTAACTGCACACTTCCTAATCTCCCATTTATGAAGTCTACACATTTTTACATCACACATTGCCCTCAGACACATCTCCATTAACTCCAGCATCATCCTTGCTGCAACATTAAAAACCTATGCTTTACACTAGTATAACAGGGTTGGTGCCCTTATACATAGTATTAAAAATATTTCAAAACTGCTTGCTTAAATTATTTACAAATAAATTTCCCATAGGCAAACACACACTAATCATACATAATAATTTTCTGTGCCATGACATACTACTGGCTTTTTGTAAATAGTGGTTGAATTACACCATGAATATTACATTTCTAGGATATGTCTAGTTCTCAGTGAGGAAATATAAGAGCAGTCCAGTCCATGACCAGGCCTCCTGGTAGATCAGGGCCTAATCAACCAGGCTGTTACTGCTGGCCGCACATAGTCCAACGTACGAACCACAGCCCGGCTGATCAGGTACTGACTTTAGGTATCTGTCCAGCTCCCTCTTGAAAACAGCCAGGGGTCTATTGGTGATTTCCCTTATGTATGCTGGGAAGAGGAGGCATTCAGGTTCAGTCCAGGGAAGGGAATGGCAGGTGCAATACATTGAATCAAGAGCCTTTCACTGGCATCAAGGAACCTCCCTGGAAGGTACGTACTCTGTACTTGAAACATTTCATTGAGAAAAACCTTATTTACAACCTGTTTGTTGTACCCTTTCCCCACTGAAAACTATTTTTTTAACATCAGTGTAGTTGGGCCTATATATTACTTTCTGGGAAAGGGATGTATCTTCTAAGTTCTTCAGTTTGGCGTTTCGTGGTATAACACTGAGAGGTTGAAAGAGCTCAGACACCCTGAAGTGATGACTCCGACCATTACATATCAGGTTCTTGTACAGTCCTCGACTCTTGAACACTTGTAATGTTTTCGTCATTCTTCTCTCTTCCTAATGACGGATTTCGATGAAGAACACAGATATAAAATATCTCCTCCTTTTCAAGATGATTGGAACAATAGTTTGCTCAAAACTATCTTGTTGTTGTTGTTGGGGATGTTAAGGGTCGCCGAACTGTGCCTCTTATTTGAGTCCTTCATCCTCTAGTAATAATTATTTAATAATAAATATTATTAAGTAACGAAGTTTATTTAGACACACGTACACATAAGTGCAATTATCATAGGGGTTATCATAGGATATCCCCCCTAAAAGTCAGTGACTTGTTTCCATTCGGGGTCCTTGAAACATCTAATTGCCCAGACCAGGGGAAAATATATTGCTCAAACTATGGGCGAGAAATTATGAAGGAAACGGTTTTATTGTGAGGTAAAAACGAGATGATGAAATATGTAAGTTAGATCAGGTAGAGACTAGGCCTAAGCACCTGCAGAACCAGGAGTATCGCTCACCGAGTGAGCACGTCTACACTCAAGTACCGCTGCAGACGACAAACAAATGGTCAAGGGCTCAAATGGCCCAGGAGAATGTAGTTAGCGTTTGGGATAAGGACTGTGATAGGCCAAGGGAATGTAGTTCTTGTTTGGGATAAGGACTGCGATAGTTCAAGGTAATGAAGTTTTTGTATTGGGATAAGAGCTTCGATAGTCCAAGGTAATGTAATTTTTTGTGTTGGAATGAGAGCTGCTATAGTACAAGGTAATGTATTCCTGCTCTAGCCCACTATTGTCTCTTCTGCTGAAATGTTATTTCCTTTCAAATCTTCTATTAAGAGCGAGTGGTGGCAGCGTATATTAGTAATTGAGGGAAGTGAACCCCTTCTCTTTTCTTTTCTAAGCTTCTTATTTTCTTTTGTTTTTCTCTTCTCCCTGATGCCAACCTGTAGGAGCATATTCAGTTTGACATTATATGGTGCTCTCTCAACTCCAGGCTGGGATTGGGATGGCCTCTGCATTTCATAAAAATCTTTATTTCTACAAGTACAGAGCATTTCGGGCATCTTTGGTTAATCTCCCTCACGATGTGACCCACATCAGTCGTCTTGCATCCAGGTACCTACTTACTGCTAGGTGAACAAGGGCAGCAGCCAGCAGGTCCAAGGAAACATGCCCAACGTTTCACCCGTGCCCAGATCGATCCTCAGACTCTTAAATGTGAGCTGAAGACACCATCAACCAAGCCAAAAGCATGCGCTAATACAGAAGCATAAGAATGCCTGGAGAGGGTTTCGGGGATGAACGCCCCCGCGGCTCGGTCTGTGATCAGACCTCGTGGTGGATTAGAGCCTGATCAACCAGGCTGTTACTGTTGGCTGCACGCAAACCGACGTACTAACCACAGCCCGGCTGATCAGGTACTGACTTTAGGTGCCTGTCCAGCACCTTGAAGACAGCCGGGGGTCTGTTTGTAATCCCCCTTATGTATGCTGGGAGACAGTTGAGCAGTCTTGGGCCCCCGAAACTTATTGTGTACTCGTGGCTCCCATGCTTTTCAATGCGTGGGATGTTGCATCTCCTGCACAGTCTTTTGCTTTTGTAGGGAGTCATTTTCGTGTGCAAACTTGGGACTAGTCCCTCTAGGATTTTCAAAGTGTATATTATCATGCATCTTTCTCGCCTGCGTTCCCAGTAGTTTAGGTGCTTTATCGTATTTACGTGTGCTGTGAAAGTTTTCTGTATTCTCCAGGTCTTCAGTTTCACCTGCTTAGGAAGGGGCCGTTAGTATGCGGCAATATTTCAGTCTAGAGAGAACAAGCGATTTGAAGAAAATCATCATGGGCTTGGCATACCTAGTTTTTGAAGGTTCTCATTATCCATCCTGTCATTTTCCTAGCAAATGTGGTAGATACATTGTTGTGATCTCTGGAAGTGAGATCCTCTGACATTATCACTCCCAGGTCCTTCACAATAGTTTTTCGCTCTATTGTGTGACTGGAGTTTGTTTTATACTCCGATACACTTAATTTCCTTGAGTTTTCCATGTTGGAGTAATTGAAATTTCTCTTCATTGAATTTTCATATTATTTTCCGCGGCCCATGTAAAGATTTGGTTGATGTCCGATTGGAGTCTTTGTGTCATCGTTGGATGACACTGATGCAAATTCGGGTGTCATTCACAAAGGAAGACAAGGTGGTGTGGCTTACATCTCTCAGATATGAGGATAAGGAACAGGATGGGGGCGAGTACTGTGCCTTGTGGAATAAAACTTTTCTCTGTGGCTACCTCAAATTTTACTCTGTTTACTAGTACTCTTGCTGTATAGTACTTGTGGCTTAGCGCTTCTTTTTGATTATAATAATAATACTAGTACTCTTTCTGTTCTGTTTGTTAGGAAGTTGTAGATCCATCTACCAACTTTTCCTGTTATTCCTTTATCACGCATTTTGTGCGCTATTTCACCATGGTCGCACTTGTCGAAGGCTTTCACAAAGTCTGTGTATACTACTACTGTATTTTGTTTGTCCTCCAGTTCATCTAAGACCTTGTCATAGTGGTCCAGTAGTTGGGACAGGTAGGAGTGCCCTGCTCTAAACCCACGTTGCCCTGGGTTGTGTAACTGATGGATATCTAGGTGGGTGGCGGTTTTGCTTCTTAGAACCCTTTCAAAGATTTTTATGATATAGGACGTTAGTGTTATAGATCTGTAATTCTCTGCAATTGCTTTACTGCCACCTTTGAGGAGGGGGGCTATGTCTGTTGTTTTTAGTGACTGTGGGATGACTCCTGTGTTTACCTGGAGTTTACCTGGAGAGAATTCCGGGGGTCAACGCCCCCGCGGCCCGGTCTGTGACCAGGCCTCCTGGTGGATCAGAGCCTGATCAACCAGGCTGTTACTGTTGGCTGCACGCAAACCAACGTACGAGCCACAGCCCGGCTGATCAGGAACCGACTTTAGGTGCTTGTCCAGTGCCAGCTTGAAGACTGCCAGGGGTCTGTTGGTAATCCCCCTTATGTATGCTGGGAGGCAGTTGAACAGTCTCGGGCCCCTGACACTTATTGTATGGTCTCTTAACGTGCTAGTGACACCCCTTTTTTCATTAGGGGGGTGTTGCATCGTCTGCCAAGTCTTTTGCTTTCGGAGTGAGTGATTTTCGTGTGCAAGTTCGGTACTAGTCCCTCTAGGATTTTCCAGGTGTATATAATCATGTATCTCTCCCGCCTGCGTTCCAGGGAATACAGGTTCAGGAACCTCAAGCGCTCCCAGTAATTGAGGTGTTTTATCTCCGTTATGCGCGCCGTGAAGGTTCTCTGTACATTTTCTAGGTCGGCAATTTCACCTGCCTTGAAAGGTGCTGTTAGTGTGCAGCAATATTCCAGCCTAGATAGAACAAGTGACCTGAAGAGTGTCATCATGGGCTTGGCATCCCTCGTTTTGAAGGTTCTCATTATCCATCCTGTCATTTTTCTAGCAGATGCGATCGATACAATGTTATTGTCCTTGAAGGTGAGATCCTCCGACATGATCACTCCCAGGTCTTTGACGTTGGTGTTTCGCTCTATTTTGTGGCCAGAATTTGTTTTGTACTCTGATGAAGATTTAATTTCCTCGTGTTTACCATATCTGAGTAATTGAAATTTCTCATCGTTGAACTTCATATTGTTTTCTGCAGCCCACTGAAAGATTTGGTTGATGTCCGCCTGGAGCCTTGCAGTGTCTGCAATGGAAGACACTGTCATGCAGATTCGGGTGTCATCTGCAAAGGAAGACACGGTGCTGTGGCTGACATCCTTGTCTATGTCAGATATGAGGATGAGGAACAAGATGGGAGCGAATACTGTGCCTTGTGGAACAGAGCTTTTCACCGTGCCTGCCTCGGACTTTACTCTGTTGACTATTACTACTCTGTGTTCTGTTAGTGAGGAAATTATAGATCCATCGACCGACTTTTCCTGTTATTCCTTTAGCACGCATTTTGTGCGCTATTACGCCATGGTCACACTTGTCGAAGGCTTTTGCAAAGTCTCTATATATTACATCTGCATTCTTTTTGTCTTCTAGTGCATCTAGGACCTTGTCGTAGTGATCCAATAGTTGAGACAGACAGGAGCGACCTGTTCTAAACCCATGTTGCCCTGGGTCGTGTAACTGATGGGTTTCTAGATGGGTGGTGATCTTGTTTCTTAGGACTCTTTCAAAGATTTTTATATGGGATGTTAGTGCTATCGGTCTGTAGTTCTTTGCTGTTGCTTTACTGCCCCCTTTGTGGAGTGGGGCTATATCTGTTGTTTTTAGTAACTGTGGGACGACCCCCGTGTCCATGCTCCCTCTCCATAGGATGGTAAAGGCTCGTGATAGGGGCTTCTTGCAGTTTTTGATGAACACGGAGTTCCATGAGTCTGGCCCTGGGGCAGAGTGCATGGGCATGTCATTTATCGCCTGTTCGAAGTCATTTGGCGTCAGGATAACATCAGATAGGCTTGTGTTAACCAAATTCTGTGGCTCTCTCATAAAAAATTCATTTTGATCTTCGACTCTCAGTCTGGTTAGTGGCTTGCTAAAAACTGAGTCATATTGGGACTTGAGTAGCTCACTCATTTTCTTGCTGTCATCTGTGTAGGACCCATCTTGTTTAAGTAAGGGCCCAATACTGGACGTTGTTCTCGACTTTGATTTGGCATAGGAGAAGAAATACTTTGGGTTTCTTTCGATTTCATTTATGGCTTTTAGTTCTTCCCGCGATTCCTGACTCCTATAAGATTCCTTTAGCTTAAGTTCGATGTTTGCTATTTCTCTGACCAGTGTCTCCCTACGCATTTCAGATAGATTGACCTCTTTTAGCCGCTCTGTTATTCTTTTCCGTCGCCTGTAAAGAGAGCGCATGTCTCTTTCTATTTTACATCTACTCCTCCTTTTTCTTAGAGGAATAAGTCTTGTGCATACATCGAGTGCCACCAAGTTAATCTGTTCTAGGCATAAGTTGGGGTCTGTGTTGCTTAGTATATCTTCCCAGCTTATATCGGTTAGGACTTGGTTTACTTGGTCCCACTTTATGTTTTTGTTATTGAAGTTGAATTTGGTGTCCATGCTCCCTCTCCATAGAATGCTGAGAGCACGTGAGAGGGGCTTATTGCCATTCTTGATGAACACTGAGTTCCATGAGCC